TAGATAGATAGATAGATAGATAGATAGATAGATAGATAGATAGATAGATAGATAGATAGATAGATAGATAGATAGATAGATAGATTTATTTAAAAACAGTTGCCCGTTTCTGTTAGTATAACTGCATAAGTGAGGGTTACAATAAGCTCCTGGCTACACATTTAGGTCAAAGCTGGTTTAATCTCAACTAAACCTAATTTCTGCTTGTTTGCCTTAGTTCAACAAGCGCGCATATTGAAAGTAATAACTGACTTGTACTATATGCCAACAAAGCTCACTGTAGACTCTCATTCAAATCACACCCGTCTAATGTTAAATTCAATCTTATAATCCATCTCTTTCCACTGCACAGTCCTTCTTTAAACAGACCCTTATTGTTTCCTAATGAACTTAAACTAAACAGACCCAATTTGTAGCAGCATGTCTCACTCAGAGCTCCACAAAGGCCCCTTGAGGGCCTTAAGGCCCCATCTTGAGCTGACTAAATATGAAACATGCACAGCCACACAGGAGGCTGCAGGAAAGGTTGTGGGGATTTGTCTTTTTTTTTTCCACCCTGCTTTTCTTCCCCCGCGTCTGCATATGCATTATTTACACCCTGTCACAAGCCGAGCATTGCTTTATGCAGTAGTAATAAACATTGCATTGGAGGAGCATGCATAAGATACCCACCTGAAGAACAGGAGATGAGGAAAACGGCTATGGCCAGTTTTGTAGCGTCTCCCATTTTCCATCCGAATGTGTCCACAGAAAGGATGATTTATAAAAGCAGAAACTCCTCCAAAAAGATTTTTAAAAAACACAGAAACAATCTAAAATTGAATGTCTTGCTCCCCAAAGGAGAAAAGTATCTGGACAATGTACATATTATACTAAAAATGGAAGCTAAATCCAAAAATGTCCAGGAGTGGGTGAGAGAGGAGGGGGGAATGCTCGGTGGTATTTCCAGGTTTTACAGCGAAGCAATGGAGGGCGACTTGGTGGCACCAGACCCGCTGTTTTCATACACTTGCGAGGTCAGTAGCAGCATTCTGGGCAGACAAGCTGAGCGGCGCAGAGAGCTGAGCCACAGCCGGCCAGGGCTAACATCCATCGGACTCCAAACCAAGCGCACTCCGCTGCTTAATCAAACTTCTCGTTGAGCTCATAAGCATAGACGTAAAATATTTTTTTTCCAGCTAAATAAAAAACATCAAAGCCTCCTTTGAAGAAAACAGTGAATTAAAAAAAAAAATTGTTTTTTTTTTCTTTTTAATCCGCGGGGAAGCTCGAGCTTTACCCGACAGTCCAGCGGGGCTGCCCGGCCACAACCACAGCCGGATCCGACCGCTCCAGCAGGGACACAACCGATTAAAAGGCTTCCAGCGGAGTGAAAGGCGGCTCCAAAGTGGCCCAAACAACCGGTTCGGCTTAAATAAGTCGATGAAAGGAGCGGAAACACTATTTTGTGACGGAATTTTTGGCGTAAACTACAGTTAATCCGTGTAGGACGACCTGGATTTTCCAAGTCCGTCTCCTCCTCGGGTCGGGACAATTTCAAGATGGAGTCATTGGTCTGTGTCAAGTCTGCCACACTGAGCCATCCTGTTTCCGGCTTTGGTTTTCAAAATAAAATACAATTACTGAATTATTTAAAACGTCAGTCATCTCTGAAAAATGTAAGCTAAAAAGAATAATGGTTAATGTTATTTTACATTCGTTATATGGAATCTGAATTTCTAGTCAAATTAGAAAAAATAACTGGAAATCATTCGTTTTATTACATCCACGAAATAGTCTTTACTCATTAGTTAATGATCTACAATGGTGTTCTGCAGTGGCGGATCTAGACCAAATGTACCAGGGGGGCAGGAGGGGGCCAGAGTGTTTTCATGGGGGCACAGAAAAGCATTAAACAAAAACAGGGTAAGGGATTCAAATATCTTAAGAGAGCTGCATGAAGTGAAATTTCTATTCAATTAGTTTTAATACAAATAATTTTCTTATAAGCTCAATATACATTCATAATTTAGGAATTTTATAAATTTTTCACTTAATTTAAGTTAAAATGACCATTTTCTATCAAATCTGAATCAGAACTCAAGAAAAACGGATAAACTCAGCTGTAAAAATTAGAGTACTTTTTTAATTTGTTTTGAAATAATAAATAATTAGTAAAACGTCATTTGTAAAGAAAAAGAATTAAATAGATCCAAAGGTCCTATCAGTAACCATGTCTGTTCCAGCTCATAACATCATTAGAATGTCTTTTAAGTATTATTTCTTCAGTACAGGGGCCATAACAGGGGCCAGGACATTATTTACAGGGGCACTGGACTCCGTGGGCCCCTGTCTAGAACCACCCATGGTGTTCTGACCCAGTAGAATTTGTTTTAATAGTTAAGTCTTTTTATGTATATTTTTTTAATAACATGTAGGCCTAGATTATATTAATAAGTAGACGTAGACTGTCGTTTTTCTTGCTGATTCTTTCCGTTTTATTTTGGAGGTAAGATCTTTAAGCTTCCGGTATGGTGCGAAATACCTTTCTGGAGCTTGTTTGAGCGGCTTTACGAGCTTAGGGATTGTTTTTGTTCGGAAAGGCTGCTTGTTTTATACTCTGGTTTATCCCGATGCGACAAAAGCTGGGCGGTCTATGTTGGAAGACCTTATAACAGCAAAAAACAAAAACAAAAAAACATGAAAAAGTATTCACCTAGATCAAAATGTGATACATGTTTACAAGCAGTTTGCATAAATAATCAGTAACCCTAACCCTTGGATAAGGAAGTTGTTTTTTTTTCTCCCCCCAATTCTTTTCATAAAGGAAAACAAATAAAGCAAACTTTACTTTAGAAACAAATCTGTCTTTATCCCACCAGGAGCAGGCTATGTCCATCTCCCTTCTGCTCAACACAATCTGCATACATACCACAACCTGCAGCTATGCGCTACTATAGGTCACATATTGGATTTCAACAGGGGTTGGGTGCTAAGTAATAAATGCTGAGAATGCCATGAAGAACAAATATAGGCTTGGCCTGCTTCCAAAATCTGTGTGACACTAATCTCCCTAATAGCCTGGAGCAGATCTCCAGCTATAAGCGCTGCTCAACGATTAGGGGGTCAAAGGTCTCAGGGGATTTCTCTGCTGTGCTGGAAGCTGAGTCACCTGTTCTACATCACAGCGTTGGCTTTCATCTCTGACAGAATAAAAAAAAAAGACACGCTCCTGAAGGTGGAGAAACCAACAGAGCCCAGTTTGTGGTGTCATAACCTGGAGATGCACTACATTTTAAACTATTCCTGGAATCCCTGTCTGTTTTCTTCTTTTACTTGGGAGTTACCAGTTTACTATATCTAAGCTGCGCTCACCGTTTGGTTGAAGCTGCCATTGAAACAATATCCTCATGATCACCTTATACAGCAGCTTTTGCACATGTGGTTGCAGGTAGGGTGACTTTCTGAGGATTTTTCCATCCTGCATTAATACATACACCAAAAACAACCTGCAGGTGTCTTTCCTTTTCTTAAATTGTTCCTCAGACTATTGCATGAAGAAGGAAACAATTGTATGACTGTCTTGTGGAAGTGGCATGTTGGGCGTGTATCCGTCTCCCTTTGAGTGGGGAAGACCTGCCATCCCTGGTCTTGGAGATTTATTGTCCATGAAGCTAATCCCATTACTCAACTATCAGATGCCAAATCTCCTCTAATGGCATTACAGGCCTGAATTACGTATGATGATGCTTGCTGAGGAGGGCTCAGCAGATATTCCTTACTGGAACCACTGGTCCTTGTGCACAGAGTAAACCCCAAGGCTCTGCAGCTTAATGGACTCCGTATTGAGTGTCAAGGGAAGTCAAATTTATCGACAAAGTGCTTTTAACAAAAAGCAGGTTGCTCACAGACGGCACGGCAGAGATACAAAGGATGTAAATACATGTGAAATGTTAACAATCGAGGGTCTGTAGCGTGTGTCCGTGGGAGCTGCAGGGCGGCATTGAGGCCAAGTGGACACAGCATGAATGATGAATGGAAAGATCGAGTTTCAGACCTCAAATCAGGCTGCAATGCTGCTTCTAAGGGTCATGTTTAATGCTGCTATGACCTGTTCCAAGGTTACAAAATAATGAAAGTTAAAGGACCGGAGGCAAGGAAAAAGCTAAATCAAATTGCGAGATCTGCATTCAAATGTATTTATTGTACAAAATAGAATAGAATAGAATAGAAAATCACTTTATTATCCCACAATGGTGAAATTCAGGTGTTTACAGCAGCAAAAAGATTATAGAAAAAATGGTCACACAAATACGGATCTTAGAACTGTGTATTAAAATAGTAGTGAAGAGTTAAAAGATAAACAATACTTTAATAGTATTATATAAGCATAATATATAATTATATAATTATATAAGTATCATATAAGAATAATAAATGAATGCAGTTGTAGTCACATAGTTTAAATGAACAATTATAAAGAGATACCCTACAAAACCAACAAAAACATTAAAATATGTACAAATTGATTAAACTAAAACCAAATATTTTGACAAAAGAAGCAAACCGATGTTGATTTTTTTTCATCTTACATGCAGTTCATCTTCTGTTATTCATACATTAATGTACAAGGCAAATAATATGGACTTTTGGATAAAATGTATGTTTAAATTTCGATATTGTATTAATTAAAAACCATTGAGGAAAATGGTGAATGGTGAAGAATAAAGGAGAATAAATGAGGAAATACATGTTAAATGATCATAACAGGAAGATTCTGTTGAATATCTGTAACTTGCACTTTAATGTGCTAGATAAAGCATTTCCAAAACATCTATATAAACAGAAATTAACTTGATAATAAAGCTAAAACTGAAAAAAGGAGCTAGCTTGATTTAAAAAGAAAGAATAAACACAACAAGAGAGAAAAGTTAAATATATACAGTGAAAGACAAACAAATAAATACATAAAAAAACTCCTCCTTTACTCTAATATATAGTAAAAAATAAGTAAAATAAACATTTTAAGCTCAAAAATGAGGAAATTTATAAGGAAATCAGTGTACTTTTAATTATTTTAGCAAATTTTTTGCAATATGATAAAACTCTTTCTGATAAAAATGTTAATAGAAATAAAATAATGCATACAATTATGGATTCATACCTTTTTTAAAAGGTTTACATGCATAATAATGTGCACAATCATCTTGAAATGTTTACTGTATTTAAAGAGTTATAGCTTCATCCGATGAGCAACGTTTATAAACGGTCCAAAACTGATTTATAAATGCACCAATTTAGATCGGATATTTTGAAAACAGTTGAAAAGACACAATCTCTGGTACATTTTCACAAAACTATGAATCAATTCTATCAAGATAATGTATAAGAGTCTATTTGGAAAAGAAGGACCTGCTGCTTGGGAGTTATAAGTCCTATCTGGCTTTTCTAGTCCACAACAAGCCAGGCGAAGCCTTTAAAGTACGTAGGTGGTTTTGTTGACATGTTTGCTTTTCGTCTCACAGCAGGAAAAGAAAGCCTGATATAAACTGTTGACACAAAGCTGGATGGATCTGTATTAACTAGAACACCCTTGCACTCAGGCATCAAAAGGAGATAAGGAAAGACATAGAGCTGAGTTAATACTAAACATTCTGGGTGTTTTGCTTTTGGCTTCTGGGTGGAAGGTGAGCAATGGCAATGAGATAAAATACCAGTAACAGCAGATTCCTTCCAAGACTTTTATTTTGTTTATAATCAAAACATAGAAGCGTCGAAAAAATACAATGTGAAAACAGAATTAAGCCTAGATTGTAGGAAAATAAAGAGTATAGTTAACCATGGAGGAAAAGAAACAAAGAAGTCCATCAAATTAATGTTGATTCTAATAAAAAAGGCACGTGGCGTCGGATTTTCAGTGAAAGGTCATGTGTCCGTGTTGCTGGGCAGCATTGAGGGTCTTCCCTCTCCACAAGCAGGCGGCTAAAATAAAAGCCTCTCCTTCTGCTCTGAAAGCTCGCAGGGCAAAATGATTTATACTCCTGCTTTGGGCTTGTCGTGATGCCACTCAGAGCGATTTATCTTGTCTTGGCACCGCTGCTCGGTAGCAGGAGCCGGCCAAACCCCCCTTTCCCTCCTTTCTGTTGTTTCAGCATGAATGATCTCTTCCATTGACAGCTTTGTTCATCCCCGCAGGCAGATCTGCACCTGTAACCAAAGCCCGGTGGATACCAGCCTAATTACCGCTCTCATCTGGCACCCAGCTGCCTTCCTTGTCCTTGTGTGAACCTGTGCTGTAGAACCTCAGAAGGGGGAGTTTGAAAATGAGCCCTCAGCTGCTCGGAGCTGCTGTCCGCACAGATGGAGCCGAAGAGAGAGGGAGGTTTTCAAGGACTTGAGGTCAAATCAATGCACAGGCATCGTCAATCAGCAACGACAGCTTCTGTCACAGAGGCAGGTATCATCCGCCTTCTTAATCCTCGCCGTGCCTGCCCTGATCTGTGGCAGCTACTGTTTTTAAAACCAAACATGCTGGAGCTGTCAGCA